CAGAGAAAATGTACTTAGTTCTGAAAGCAAATTGCATGTATGATAATGTGAAAGCATGCGTACGCTGCGGTGATGATTTTACTGATTTTTTTGACTGCCCGATCGGCCTGAGACAAGGTTGTGTTCTCAGCCCCATCCTCTTTTCCTTTTTTATCAATGAATTATACTACGAAATTATGGCAAACGGAAAAAATGGTGTCCAAATGTTTCCAGATCTAATAGAAATCTAAATACTATTATTTGCCGATGATGTTATTCTTCTATCAGAATCAGTTGTTGTTGACACAATTAAATATTTTAGAACGTTACACACAGAGACATGGAACCTATCCGTGAACCTTGATAAAACACATATAGTCATTTTCAGAAAAGGTGTCCCACTTGCGGTAAGAGAAAGATGGAGTTTCGATAATCAACTTGTAACTGTAAGAAATCAGTACACATATCTTGGTTTTATGTTTAATACAACCATTAATATGAAGAAAAAAAAGGTTGCTGAACTAGCCTTGAGAGCAAAGAAAGCAGTAATTAGTTTATTGTCAATTATGCCTAACTTTGGCGTGTTGACGCCCAAAATATTTATTAAGTTATTTGATTCACAAATACAGCCTATCTTACTCTGCTCTATATGGGGATTCCAGCGTTTTGAAAGTATCGAACAAATATATCTATTAGCGTGTAAAACGTTTCTTTGTGTGGGTCAGTCAACACCAACATGTATGGTATAAGCGAATGTGGGAGATATCCTTTGTATATCAATTTCTATATCAGATGCATAAAATACTGGCTGAAAATTATATGTATCAATGCATGAAAATAGACTACCTAAAAACGCTTACAATATGCTTGTTCATCTGGATGAGTTGGGTAAAGTAACATGGGCATCTCATGTAAGAAATCTCCTATTTTCTCATGGTTATGGTTTTGTGTGGCTAAATCAGTCAGTTGGCAATGTGAATCTTTTTTCTATCAATTCCAAGAAACAGCTATCAATATATTTAATCAAGATTGGCATTCAGTTTTAGATAATAGCTCACAATATGATTCTTACAGAAAGTTTAAAACCCAACTCCAACCTGAAACGTACCTATCATACTTAACATCCAAAAAGTTGAGAAATTCATTAATACGACTTAGATTAGGACTATCAAACTTAATGATTAATGAAGGAAGACGTACATCCATCGACAGACATAAAATAATTTGCCCATTGTGTAAATTATCTATTGAAAACGAAATTCATTTTTTATTTGTCTGTCCATCTTATATAGATTTACGTAAACAATATATTCCTGAATGTTACCTCTCCAAGTCACCTACTGTAGCATTTAAACAAACCCTTTCTACTTATGAAATCTGTATTAACTTAAAACTATCACAATACATCTACAATGCAATGTCTAAGCGTGATATTCTGTCAAAATCATCTCTGTATTCCAACAGTATGTGATTGTATAATGCATGCAACTCTAATGCATATGGGCCGGAGGCCTAAAATACAATAAACATCTTTGACTTTTGTACTTCTACCAAATGGTGGCAAACTATCAGGGTTATTACACAAAACAAACGGGCTTTGCCGGCCACGATCACCGGAAGCACATTGACTGTACAGAGTCGCATTCTATAAGTGGCAGATTCCATGACCATTGGTTCAACACATTCGCCCTATGCTCTTTCAAAATTTCAAAACTTTAGCCTAAAACAACAAAATGACAATAGATTTTCATACCGCCTAAGGTAAATATCGCCTTCATTATGAAAATGACCCAAGGGTTAATTATGATAAAGACAGATATTAGTCAAAAAGAGTCGTCATTACATGTCATTAGATATTTATTATATTTATTACGACTAAAAACTACCCAAGAATTTGGTATCACGTACGGGTCCAAAACAAGCTTTGAGGTAATAGAAAATCCTGCTCATTGCAGTATATTGTCAGTATATTATATTTCTACCGACCAAACCAAATCACCTATCACACTGCACGTGTCAGTCACTATCATGGTTAAAACAAACAACAAACTGACATATACTGACTGAGTAAGGATGATGAGTAAGGTTTACTGAAAGATACCAGATAAACTATATAACAGAAACGGTTAACGCCAGAGAATATTCTTTTCGATTATCTGCCAAAGGGATGCCTTCTGCCACAAAAGGGGAAAATGTGTGAATATTAAAATGAATGGATCACTGGAAATAAGTAACTGTAACACTACAGTACATAGCGTCCTGTACAGCGTGCTGTACGTAAAATGAACTTACTCTGGTGACTGTATTATATAATCATATATTATGTATTATGAATGGGAGCTAAATGTATTGCATAATCCATCACGTCAAACAACGGTGTTCACTTTAACAATACAGCCTACCCTGTTAAAAACGCCTAAATTTGTATAGGGAAGTTTGGGCATTATACTCGGGTGGCGTGATAACCGGAGAGGACGCTCCACTCAGTCATATATGAATATGTATACATTATTTGTTTCATGTGGAGATCGTTGTCTATTTGTAACAGAAACAAACATGACATCCATGCTATTCGTGTAGTAATTTACAGCACGCTGTCAAACTGTCACTTCATTGTGGCTTAAAGAGTGAGTGAGTGAGTTTAGTTTTACGCCACACTCAGCAATATTCCAGCTATATGGCGGCGGTCTGTACATAATCCAGTGATCAACAGCATGAGCATCGATCTGCGCAATTGAGAACCGGTGACATGTGTCAACCAAGTCAGCGAGCCTGACCACCCGATCCCGTTAGTCGCCTCTTACGACAAGCATGGGTTACTGAAGGTACATTCTAACCCGGACCTTCACGTGTAGTGGCTTAAAGAGGTTTGTTTGAATAGTATAAGAAAATGTTATAACAATTGCTTTATAGAGAGCAATGTGTTTTTCAGTCATTTTGAGCAGGGGCCGTCAATTTTAAGAGGGCAATGAATTTCCTAGATCCGTTTGTGTTAGATCCGCCAAAGCGTATATATATATATATATTTATATATAAGGGCAAATCCGACCGTTGGGCGACAGTACTATAAACTGCGACGATATATATATATATATACACACACATTTATTCTCAAACATATCTCTATATATACACACTTCAAAAAAGGAAACTCATAGGTGGTTTTGAGGATACTGGACTCATGTGCCTGCCGCAAAAACAAAACAAATAATATAATAATTCTTTCCAAAACGCCTTGAAAAGAGGAAATCATCATGCCGCGACTGAGTGACACCAATCGAAACATCGCCATAGGCCGCCTTGAAGTTGGGGAGTCGCAGTCTGTAGTTGCCCGACGTTTCAACGTTCATCAGAGCATCATATCTCGCTTTTGTGAACGTTTCCTATACACCAATTCCACCCAAGATCACCCGTCTTCACCGACGAGACGGAAGACAGCGTGTTTACCGTCGGAGAAATGAAGGTTTTGTCCCTAATTGCATTCTACAGGTCGACAAATTCGGTGGGGACAGTGTCATGATGTGGGGTGAATATCCAGCACACAAAGATCTGATTTAGTAGTAGTTCAGGGGAATTTGACAACAAATCGGTACATCAACGAAGTCCTTGCACGTCACATGCTTCTGATTATGGGTCGTCAGAAGGACCGTCATAGGCTACTTCACGTACAAAACGCGTCACGGTCCGCTACCTTGCCAATTCCAGCGTCAGTGTCTTACCACGACCTTCCTGATCACCAGACCTAAACCCGATAGAACACCTATTGGATGAACTCAACCGACGTGTACATCAACGTCAAAACACGCATGAGACTCTTCCACAATTTACTGGCCATCGCATTGCAGGAAGAGTGGGGAATAACTCCGCAAGAGCGACTTCATCAGCTTATGCAGTCCGTGTCAAGACGGTGCCGAACAGCAATTGTTGCAAATGGTAAATAATGTCCCTTAAACTAACGCAATGAATTCTTCTAAAATGACATATGCGTTTCTATTTATGAGAGTGTATATATGTATATCTACGTACATGTATACACACACACACACACACACACACATATATACATATAGATAGAGATATGTATGTGACTAAAATATGCGACGAATATGTATAATATATTTTACATATATCCTTCCTGAAGCAGTTTGACAGTTAAAATAATCCCCAACAAGCTTTTCCGTGCCAAAGAGAGGGGGTCATCAAATCATCATCAACGCAATATATTTATTATATTGTTGATTTGGTGATCTCCTTTCTATACTTTGTTATTTAATGTTTATTTCTTCCAACATACTAAAACTATACTGTAACCTAATGAAATATCAAGAAAATGTTCCAAATCCTCAGCCAGGTGGCAGCGCACCGTAATCAAACAAGAGTTTACAGCAAACAAAGCATCCATGGTGTATCCACCGATTAGGTTCCTTTAAATGTTACTAACGATAATGCAACCATTACGCTGCTAACAGCTGTATTTCCTGAAAGGGGCGGTGGGGTAGCCTAATGATTAAAGGGTTCGCTCGTCACGCCGAAGACCCGGGTACGATTCCCCACATGGGTACAATGTGTGAAGCCCATTTCAGGTGTCCCCGCCGTGATATTGCTGGAATATTGCTAAAGCGGCGTAAAACTAAACTCACTCACTACTCACTATATCCTGAAAAATGCACGTATATTATTACACATCGTATAAGAAAACTGAAAATGTGAGAAGCGCCGATAAAATATAGATTTGTAGTATTTTCTTTTCAGAGAAAACTGCACGTGTGTTGAAGCAATGTTATTTTTGCACGTTCATCACAAGCTAAGGGTTTTCCTGTAAGTGCTTATTTTAAGGACAGCTAGGAATTGGTGAAAAAAAATGGGAAATATATGACGCGAAGCTAAACTTAGAGCTCCACAACAAAAGGACATTTTGTGTATAAGTACTGCCACGTCAAATGTCTATTGTATCAAAACGCAAAATTACCTATCTATTAATATCTACACATATACAAAACACGACCCTTAATAAGTAACACGTCAGACAGGGACAAACAGCACAATAAAACAGTTGATGTAAAACAACACAGGATGCCAGTGTCAACACTGAGATATGCTGTATAGGTATGTATATGGTGTTGTAATAATAATAATAATTGATTTATAGAGCATTCTGGTACAGTGATGTAGACTGTGATAGATTGTTCTGATTATTAATATGTTTTTGTTTGCTTTTGGTTGGATATTTTGAAAATGTGATTGGGACACGGATTGAATCTGTAATGAGCGCATGTTGTTTTATGCCTCGATCGAGTCACTAGCAAACTGTATCCTTTTGGCATACAGTACACCTGGTTGTCGATTACATTATCTGTTTCCATTTAAGATGTTTGTTCACCATTCAGTTCCACGTTTACTACACTTGTGTGATTACACAATATAATATATGCATAGGCACATGTATGTGCTTATACATACATATACATATATATACATCAACATACAGATATATTTATTTACACGCTCACACACACTCACCCACACTTACACGTATACACATATAAACAAGATACATTGTATATAGTTTGCTGCTAACCATATAAGCGTATGTTTGATACTTGTTTTGTAACTGATATCGATACAGATTAAGATTGTGCATTGGATAAGTGAGTGAATGCTGGTTTTCAGCATCATTTCAGCCATCTTGCCATAATGGAATAAACGAATCCGGACCATAACTCCGTGAGTTAGGGTTCGTCCTCGTAACGTGTTGTAAAGAGGGGCACGGCGCTGCCGTAGAAGGCATTGCCATTAGCCGTGCAGAGTTGTGTCTTTGGCCACGCTGTAAGAAGGGGACGGAGACCAGACAGTCACTTTGACCAAGCATAGTAACTTGTGAAATAGCTATATCAAACGGGTTAAATTTGCCTCATTGTCCCATGTTGAAAGACGATCAGATTCAGAGTTCTATTTCGACAATACTTTTACGTTTCTAGTTTTGACGTTAATCATACGTCAAGAATACTATTTCTCCAATTTTGTCAGTAAATATGTTTGAAGAATCTAAGTTCTCTATATCTTTTCCTTGTTTCAGAGACGATGGTACAGGTGCTCGTATTTACAGTACTGCTGTGCGTGAGCGCAGCTTTCGGCGCAGCCTTCAACCCTGACTACTTCCGGTGTCACCTTGACCTCTGTAAACGAGGAGAACAGTACTGTGTGGAGGAGAGACAACGATGTTACCACTGCGCAGACTTAACTCACCTGTGCAATACAACTGAACTCTCGCGAGACTGTGACAGCTATTGCTATCGTAAGTACACACATACAGCAACTCATAACGGATAAATTCCATTCGTAGAGATGTAAGCAATTGTCCGTATGAATTACAAAGAAACGATCGTTTGTTTGGCTGATATTAGAATGTGATTTAATCGACAAATCGGTTGTAGTCTTGAAAGGAAATATGTAGTTCTTATAAGTTAAGATGGTTTCGCTTGTTGTTTAATGCCGCACTCAGCAATATTCCAGCTATATGGTGGCGGTCTGTAAATAATCGAGTCTGGACCAGACAATCCAGTGATCAACAGCATGAGCATGGATCTGCGCAATTTGAATACGATGACACATATCGAAGCCAAGTCAGTTAGCCTGACCACGATCCGTTAGTCGCCTTTTTACGACAAGCATGGGTTACTGAAAACCAATTCTAACCCGGATCTTCACGGGTTTATAACTTAAAAAGGCAGTGGTCAAGAGGTCTATCCCTTGGACATAACTTGGTTTGCCAGCGCTGTACATGTGACTTCAAGTTTCACTAATTTCGGGGATAAACGTCAACGACGTGTGTCACCTTCGTTTCTCCAATATATGGATATCAAATTAGGATTAATATAATTCGTAACCACACAGATACAATATCCATGGTCATGTGCATCAATCCCTTGGGTATTCACCATCTTTAAAATGTGACGATAATATCGTCATTGTTATGCAACAATGTGATCTCTTTTCAGGGGTTCAATTACAGCGCGTAGTGGAACTTGAAGCAAATAAAAGCGCGGAGTTGGCAGACAGGCAGGCTGACCTCCAACAGGAACAACAGAAGAACGCTGATCTGAAACAGACAGTGAAACAGCTGGAGGGTAACGTCAGCCGACTCACAACAGTAAACGAGAATCTGAACACTGGAAATAACCAAAGGTGAAAACCTGAAAACAGAACATAAAGGTGAGAAAGCTGGGTGCTAAATATTGTAACTGTAGGTAATACAATCATTATTCGTGTGTTCGTGTAATACACCTAGTCACAACAGTGATTGTGGTTCATCATTGTGTTTCAAAAAGATAAAACGTGAATATCCAGTCTCGATTATTTCAATGGAAACAGGTGGCATCAGGTGTTATCTTTAATAACGTATAAACGAACCACATTATGAAAACATTGTTGATGAAAGGTTCAAATCAGAATAACCACTCAGGTTGAAAAAGCTAATTTGAACACTTGGGATTCAAATTCAATTTAATCAACTCTTAATTCAGCATTGAAAATATAGTATAACACATTAAAGCTAACATATTTGTACGATTTCATTAAACATATCTGATCTGTTTGTTACAGGGCTGGTGAAACAACTGAACAGAGCAAGATCAACTTCATCGCATGTCTAGTGAGTGGAGTGTTCATTGTCATCATTCTGGCGGCAGGGACCATTTTGTTGTCTCTGTTGTCGGAAAGAACACCATTCAAACTCTATCGGCATAAAGCAGTCAGGTAGGAAGAAGAACTCTCTGTATTGAAACCTTTGTGAGACCATTTCGAAAGGTTCCACAAAGATGAAATTAGATTAAATTGTTTGAAGAATTTAATACAAAATATCACGGAAATAATACTTTAAATACCAATCTATTGTGCTCAGAAAATAAAGAGTGATTTCTTGACTGATAATTTTACTGGAAACATCTTTGCAAAAAATATGTGTAATCGCTGATCGAGATAAAATGTGTTCAATGAATTCGCATTACTTTGAACATTATTACAAACTAAATGCATATTTTTCAAAAATGCTGAATGTTTTCGGAAAATATCAGTGGGATTGTTGGGGAATACCCAGGCGGTTGCGGTGTTTCGGATCGGGAATTGATGCCGTGTTTGTGACGTTTGGGCGCGGTATTCTGTTCCGGGCGCGAACCAGGCCGATACTCGCAATAACAATTCCTTATTTTCGAGCATTCGGCATTTTGAAAATGTGCGTTGAATTTGTAGCCAATGTTCACGAAATGTCGCAGTTCGACCGAACCTTTTATCGCTTTGATACGCATATTTTTGCCAGATGTTTCGATAATTATCGATCGAAATCGCCTTTGCCACTACGAGGCAATAATAGGTGAGCTGAGTATTGACTGTCTTGTAAGTCCAGGCTAATTTAATCTGTTCATCGCGGTGCTGAAATATTCTCTGGGCTTTCGATACGGCGGTTCTTCTTCTACCCGACTTTGCTTTCGTGGAAGTTTTGAGGGTGATGTTCTTTCCGACGGCAGAAACAGGCTGCCGAAGGCGATGAACGTGAGCTGCTCCGCTCGCGGAAGCGTGCGATGAGAACGATATCAACATACTGGTTCGGTGTTTCGCCAGCTGCTGTGACTGGCAGATCGAATAGCCTGTTTATTGAGTCATTTTGAAACAGCTGGCCCTTCCGCCATTGCTGAACCAAGTTGACCAGGGTGAATTTGAGATCCCCGAGTCTTCCAGAACCAGCTTTTTCAATACGGTCATTACATTCTGATTTGAACCTGCATCAACAATGTTTTCATGTGTGTTCGTTTGCGTGAGCAACTGATGCCGCCTGTTTCGTTGTCGAACTGAATATATTCGTTTTATCTTTATTTACAATGATGAACCTGTCGCTGTTATTGACGACCCGCGAACACTGGCTGGCATTACCTACGATTTACGTATTGCCCGGCTTCTACTGCTGTGTTGTTTTCGAGTTTTCACCCATTTTCGGTGTTCGGATATGGTTACTGTTATTGAGTCGGCTTTGACGTTACCCTCCGGCTATTTCTTGTCTACATTTCAGATGTTGATGACTTTACCTGTCTGCAACTCGCGCTTTATTGCTTCGAACCGCTACGCGCTAACGAACCCTGAAGAATTGTTACGCTATTTAACCGACGATATTATCGCATTGCAAAGATGATGGGGTGATGCACGCTTGACCGTGGTGTTCTTATCTGTAATGATTTTGTTCTGTATTTGGTTGATAATCATATATTGGAGAACGGTGACGCGTCGTTGTTATCGGTGGTGAGAGCTTGAAGTCATGTACGGCGCTGTAAATGAGACCGAGGATGAACATAACCCGATACTGCTTTGTAAAACCCATTGAGAGATCCGAGGTTAAGAATTCGGTTTTCGGTAACCCATTAACAAACCGAAGGCATTGGCAGGATCGTATGGTCGGGCTTAACGAACGGTTGACATGTGTCGTCGTATTCAATTGCTGGATACTGATGCGATCACTGGTGTCGGTCGAATTTCGATGACCACGAGACGCGCCGCCATGAATGCGGCGATGAAGCGAATCATCTCTTTAACTTATAAAGAACTGCATATTTCCTTTTCGGTTTACAACCGATTTGTCGATTAATCGCATTCGGCCGAATAACGATCGTTCTTATATTCATACCCGGACAATTCCATTCTACGGAGTAGATTTATCCGTTATGTTGCTTTGTATTAACACGATAACCAACTGTCATTCGCGGTTCGGTTGTATTACCGGGTGAGTTAAAGTCTGCGCGTGTTGTCGTTGTCTCCTCTCGTTTACGAGATAGCCGGAAGTCGGGGTAATTTGCGCCATGCGTTCGCGTACCCAGCAGCCTGTAAAATGCGTGCGCCTGTCTCTGAAACGAAGATTATGGGGCTTGAATTCAACACTGATGCAAATTGGTGTTGACGTGATTAACGTCAGAACTAGAGGCGGCGAAATGTCGATAAACTGCTGAATGATCGTCTTTCAACGTGGAACAATGGTGAAATTTCAGCGTTTTGTCATCGCGGTTATATCTTTGGCGTGATGGAACACAACTCTGCGCATTTAATATTGTGCCCTTCTACGGCGGCGCCATTCTTCCCTGACGCGTTACGAAGGACAATTCCCCAACTCTGCGCCTGGTCGGTTTCGTTATTCATGGCCAGATGACTGGTGCTGAACTTTCCGTGAACTTTCGCTTATCGAATGCTGATCTTGTCTGTATCGATAATGGTAACATGCGCTTATGGACGGCGACATACGACAATGATAACTGTTGTTGCTAATGTTAATGCTAACGAAGTCGATGGTCGGTATTCGATATTGATAATAAATATCGCTCGTTGATATATATTTAACAATAACATCAACAGCAAGCGCATACGTATAACTATGCATGCTATTATTGTCGCGAGTAACCGATGGATATTGATTGACATCTTAATGGAGGCAATTATTCTTGATAGACATGACCGAACAACCTTCGCTGTGCCGAATTACGGTTGCTGGTGTTTCGATCGAATGTCGGCATGCGCTCATTGAATTCGACCGTCTATCGCATTTTCGAAATATCCGTCAAGCAAACAAAACATGACCCGATAATCGGAACAATCTATCTGTCTACATCACTGTGCCAGAATGCTCTATAAATCGGTGTTATTATTATTACGGCATGGCCATACGCTACTATACGGCATGTCTCGGTGTTTATGGCATCCTGGCATTTTACATCAACTGTTTTATTGATAACGATTTGTCTGTCGTTATGACCAGGGGTCGTGTTTATGTATGATAAACAGACTGATAATAGATGGGTAATTTTGCGTTTTATTACGATAGACGTTGACGTGTTATACGAAATGTCGCTTTTATTGATGAATAAGTTGGCTTCGCGTCATATATTCATTTTCGCCAGTCTAACGTCGCAAAATGGCGCTTGCAGGAAAGGCCACCTTTATTGATGGTGATACCCAAAACAACGTTGCTTCAACGCGTTCGATTTTCTCTGAAGAAAATGCCTGAATCCGCTGTTTTATCGGCTTCATTTCGGACTGTATACGATGATAATGTACGTGCGTTTTCATATTCATTCAGTGACGGTTGATTTTACGCCGCTTTAATGTTGTACAATGCTCGGCGAGGACACAATGAATGCGATGTACCCGTATTGGTCATGCCGAATTAATTCGGCATTGACGACGATACCAATCGTGGGCTGCTACCGCCCACTTCGAGAATACGACTGTGGCTGTGTGCATTATCGTTGGCCAGCATTCAAAGGAACTAATCGACGGATTACCGCCATGGTGTTTTGTTTGCTGTGGAAGCTCTTGTTTGATACGGTGCTACCATACAACTGAGATTTGGAACGACATATTTCGTGAGTTTGATTTTTAGTGTTGGAAGAATGAAGCGATGAAATCTGAAATTATAGAGGATCGCCAATCAACTATTATGTCGTATATTGCGTTGATATTTATTGACTTGATTGAAGGATTATTTATCAATTCTTTCGAAGGATATATATAAACGCATTATGCATATTCGTCGTATTTTTGGTCGCATGTAATAAATACTAATATTGATGATATTATTCAGTATTTTGACTGATGGCTATTCAATGATGATATTCGCGTGAACATATTATATACATAAATGAAACGTATGTCGTTCAGAAGGATAAACCCAGACCAGTTGGGGACGTGTTACCGTTGCAACGGTTGTTCGTACCGTCTTGACGGTTTCGGCGCTATTGAGTCATCTTACTGAGTCCCGCTCTTCAATGACCGGTAAATTGATGAGTCATGCGTGTTTTGACGTTGATCTTGCGTCGTTGATTCGTCAATGAATTCGATTCTGATGATCGGAAGATAGATGATGACGCTGGAATTGACGAGATAGCCATTGGAACGGTTTATTGGCCAATGACGTTATCGGTCCGTGATCGGAAGCGTATTGTTGATGATCGGAATTCCCCTGATTCTGATCGAATTGTTTGTGTTAACGGATATTCGCCCGTCTTCAATCACCATCGACTTATGAAGTACGGTCCAGGGGACGAAACTTCGTTTCTCCGACGATGGCTTGCGTAAACAATGGGCGGTGATCTTGATTGGATGTTTATACCAACTGGATATGATAACGATGAACATGATATCGAATTGACTCGCTTTTATGACGATGTTTCATT